AGAGCTGCTGGATGTTGGAAATGCTTTCTGTCAGCAACTGCTGGGAATTTTTGAGACACCATGGAGATCATAAGGTAACAGAAGAACTAGAAATGGACAAACATTATCCCAGTTTTCAAAACCATTACAGTCAGTAGTTTATAGTTGGGGGAATGATTAAATAGCTGTAAAGAATAATCAGTTTTAAGCCCAATATTTAAAGATCCTGAAGACAGTAAGTTGTTTTAGAACTTAAATTGTCTTATGCTGATTATAACTGTTTTATGTGTTCATTAAAACAGGTTGGATAGGACTGCTGCTTGGCAACTGTTTTTTAGCTGTGTTTGAATTTTTGTATGTATTTCCAAGTAATAAAACTATATTTGTAAAATATTTCTATATTTGAGACTTATTTGTCATGAATATTTGACTCAAAATTCAGATGACCAGAGTCACAAGATGTTCTGGTTTTAGTTATTTTTTAGACTGTTTAGTTGTACCTGGCTCAGATGGGAAGCCGTATGAATCCACGTGCTGGTGACAGGCCTAGCCTTCAGCTAAAGCGTCACAGCCCCCTCTTGCAGGGCGCAGTGGGGAAGGCCAGCCCGCCTTCAGAGAACAGGCTTTGCAGACTCTAGAAGAGGAAGAGTGCAGCTTGCAAATCCACCCCCAAAGTGCTCCCGTTCCTCCCTCCTCCCTCTCCCCACCTCGCCTAGTAAATCCTTGGTCCATCCTTCAATGCCCAGAACCATCACCACCTGTTGGGGTCCCACAACCCTTTATTGAAGTGTTTTAGAATACCCAGTCTAAAAGAAGTTGGAAGTATATGTATCCCTTTTCCTGATCACCATGTGAAGGCTCTGGAAGCACAAACTGCTCCATCTTTGATTCCCAGCACCCTAGAGCACTGTTAAGTGATTACTATGTGATGGGAAAAAAAAGTCAAATTACATAATAAACATATAAATAAGGGACAAGAAAGCATCCCCATAACTGGAACGGACTAGGCTGCATCATCTGTGAATCCCAATTATCTGATAGCCAGTCACATTTCATCCTATATCCTAAATTGATTATGGCGTCTTAATAGTTTTATTCTAGAAGAGATTAAAAGCTTACACAAGCCCACAGACACATAACTTTCAGAAGGATGCTGGAGGGCCTGCTTGGGCAGTGTGGAGGCCCGCAGGAGAGCTGGAACTGCCCCATGAACACGGCACATTTTCTGTGAGGCGGCTTTGACCCCTAGCTCAGCCACTCAGCCTTGTGGAAGGACAGACTAGCGTGAACTAACAAAATACCACGTGTGGTTTACAAAACATACACTTACCATTTGGCAAGCATTAATCTACTGTTGCCAGGATAAGGATACAACAGTGAATAAGAGATTGCCCCTACTGTCACAGACTTCCAAGTTGAGTGAAGGAGCAAAACAGATAAGTAAAAATTATAACAGAATGTTTTAGGTGCTGTTCTGAGTTAACCACGGGGGCATGGAGGTGTGTGTGCAGCCTTGGGGGTCAAGCGAATCTTCCCATAAGAAGTGGTTTTCTTGCCTAGGAACAGAAAGAACTATACTTTCCTAAACTTCTCCCCTCTAGGAGAATTACATTAATATGTATATGCATGCTCAGTGGTGTCCAACTCTTTGCAACCACACGGACTGTCCATGGGATTCTCCAAGCAAGAATACTGGAATGGGTTGCCATTTCCTACTCCAGGGGATCTTCCCGACCCAGGGATCAAACTTGCATCTCTTTAAGTCTCCTGCATTGGCAGGAGATTCTTTGTGCCACCTGGGAGGCCCCATTATGTTAACAGAGGCTGCTGTTATTTTCTATGAATATCTTACTTCAGCAGCAAAGGATTACTAGTGATTACTGCCCTGTCGTTTCCTTCCCAACTCGGCCACTCAGGTCAGAGATAACAGCCGATCTGTGCTGGGTCTCATGTGCTTCACTTACTGGGATGAGCTCCAGGCAGAAAGCCGTATGCCCATTCTCCTGACGCCATGTGTATACTTGCCTGGGTAAGATCAGATCAGTCTTGGAAGCCTGACACTGTGATTGTTATCTTGCCCTAACCATTGCCCAAGAAGAGGGACAGCGCAGGGCACCCCTGGCTATGCACACAGTAAAGGGAAAAAAACAAGGCCTCTATTCTGACTTAATCAGTTCTTCATAATTCTTCATGTTTTCATGATGAATGGCTTTCTGATTTAAAACAATGCTGAATACTCCACTTCAGAAATTTCCTTGGATTAGAAGGTAAATTCCCTGCTCTCTGGAGTCCAGTTTTATGCCTGGATTTTAGACTTTTGCCCAAGTTCATTGTTCTGGCATGTTTTACTTCCTAGTTCCTCAAAGACTGCTGGTAGTACTTCATGATCACATATACAGGTTCTCACTAACCTTAGGATGCCTTTTTTTTTTTTTAATCTGAGCCTATAAATTATAAATTCTTTCAAAATACAGGTTGTTTTTTCGTGTGTGTGTGGTAACTTCACACTTACTTCCACTGCTGGTGTAACTAGGGTGACAGTGTAATCTTTTTATCCAATTGAGGTCATTTGAGAGTGAAAGGGAGCATTAAGCAATAATTTCACCACAGCAAGATGCAAATCAAGACTACCCCAGACCAGTTGGAACAGATGATCGCCCTGTCACTGTGTGTGTGTGTCAGTCCGACTCTGTGACGCATGGATTGCAGCCCTCCAGGCTCCTGTCCGTGGGATTTCCCAGGCAAGAACACTGGCGTGGGTTGCCATTTCCTTCTCCAGGGCATCTTCCCGACCCCAGGATCAAACCTGGGTCTCCCGCATAGGAGGCAGATTCTTGACCGTCTGAGTCACACCTTTTCATGTTTGGGTATCATTCTTAATTGAGATTAAGATTTACTTTCTATCAAGCATCTGTCATCATTATACCACTTCTTAGTTAACTAAGCCATTTAAAAGTTATTTTAAGAATTCATCCCCTGGAGAAAGGAACGGCTACCCACTCAGTATTCTTGTCTAGAGAATCCCATTGACAGAGGAGCCTGGCAGGATCATAGAGCTGGACACGACTGAGCGACTAACATTTCCACTTTCCACTCATTTTAGGTGTCTCCCTAACACTATTCACGTTAATTTGTCATTAATGTGCCTTTCCTTTAAACTTCAGGGAAAAATAATAATAGTTACAACAATGACAGTAGCAACTAACATTTGTAGTTACTATGAGCCAGGCTCCATTTAGGCACTCGATATGTATAAATGTTAAAATCTTCATAACCACCCTGTAAGATGGGTAAGTTACCAGTGGGGAGTTGGGGATGCAAGGCGGGGATCACTAAGCAAGTCCTGAATTGCTGACCCCCACCCTAACCCAGAAAAGAGGCGGCGATCTGTTACAAACCATAAAACCTGGAAAGGAAAGAAAAGGAACTAAGGCCTACGGAGAATTAGTGAGGGAATTCATTCCTCTTCATTCCTATTAACTGAGAAGCATGACTCTGAGTATTAGAAACCTTGGTGCAAATCCTGTCAAATGCCTCCTTCCTAACTGGAACCCTGCCCTTACCTAATTCCAATCTCTGCTTGCTGGACAGAGCAATTAAATTTCTCCCCTATTGTTTCCATACTAGACCATCAGGTTATAAATTCTTGGGTTCCTACTATTCTGACACCACTAATTCTATGGTAAGACAGAAAATAACCCAATTCTCCCACATCATTCCTTCAGTGGTTTATATCTTCTCTCTTCCAACTCATGACTTTTAATTGGAAAAACAGAAATACCTTTACCGCGAAATTCTGAAATTTTCAGTTCATGATATTCAAGTCCCAGAGATGTTTTCCAGATTTCTTCTGTTGCATCATTCATCCCTATGTTAATATACAAAAGTGAGGGCTGAGCAAAGGCTTGGTATGTCTTAGAAAGCTTTTTAACATTACAATACACATCTCTGTAAACAGCAAAACACACAGGCCATGACCTCATTACTCATCATCAAGAAGTCACTAACGGGTATAGCTGCTTCTTCCCTTCTCATCACTGTATTTTGTGTTATAAAATACTCTAAGAAGCAGATGATACAGTCCCTGCCCTATAAAAAGCTAGCATTCTAGTTGGAGAGACCACACTACCACAAATGAAAGAATTTTATACCTATTAAGTTATAAAACACTACAGAATTAGCCCCAAGTGAAAATGAAAGCCAAATGAATTGCAGTTGTCAAGAAATACTCACATAGAGAAGGGAAACTGGGCCATGAAGGTTTTGGACACTAAAAGGCAAAAGTAAATTTCATGACTATTTTCTGAGTGGGTTTTCAATAAATGTTTATGGAACGAATAACAGGATAGGAAGAAAGCAGACATTCTGTGTCAAGCAGGGCATCTCACAACAGAGGCAAGAAAGCACAGATCATTCTTACATGTGGGGAAGAAAAGCAAATATGCTGAATGCACAAAGAGCCCAGGCAGGTGTGAGTTTTATTGCTGACTTCTCTGGCAGCGAAGGCAAAACAAAGAATTTAGAGGGTTGTGACAGTCTCATCTGATACAAAGAATCCATTTAAACAATTATTAAATGTATATATTAAATACATACACACACACATATATAGAAACTATATACTCATCTAACCAGCTTCATCACTCACATTTAACTCCTTTGTTTTCTCTAAGCACACTATACTTGTTCATGTTTTAAGCCCTTTGTACTTGCAATTCCTGTGCCATTTGAAAGCTTACAAATCCGGTCTTCAGTCAGACACATTCTTCTTCGGAGCACTGCTCAAATACCACATGTTCTACAAAGTCTTCCCCTTCTTTTCCAGGCAGAACAATTCACTCCATTCTCTGTATCTTCATACTTTGCTCTCCTCTTTTAGGGTACTTACCATGTTTTATGGTGATTTACTTGCTTTGAGTGTCTGAATTCATTAGCCTGAATGGTTTACAAGGGTAGATTCTATAGGTCTAATATTTTCTGCACATGGCACTGGCACCCAACATACAACAGGCATTGTTAAATGTTTGTTGAATAAGTGAATTTATTGCATGTTTCCTTATATAAGCACCACTCAGCAACATAATAAGTGAATTCAGGAGGCTTTACAGAATTGTAGAAATTCTCACTGTTGGGCCTTTTCTTGTGCTGACCCTTGCTAACACCAAAGGTTTTAGTAATAAAATGGAAGACATCATTGGGGGATTAATTAATGAAACCCAAGTAAACATCTCTTTTAGTGATTAACCAATCTCTAGTACTTGAGAAATGTACTCTTAGGTGCTTTCCTCAAATATTGATCAGTCAAGTTTCTCACAGGAGCTTGACAATAGTCAGTTCTCATCTGGAGTTTCTATGCTGCTAAATTAAAATCCTCATTGCTTTGGCTATCCAGTGCACAGGTGGCAAGACTGACATTGTTGAAGGTTAAGAAACTGAATATACTTTCTTCTTGGGGTGCAGGGGGACAAAAGATTTCTTCTTAGGAAACAACTTTTAGGCTTGTTCAAGAGCTTAAAGAAAACTCAGCTGGTTAGTTTTGTAAAATGTAATGTTACAGAAATTAATCTGGAAAAAATGTAAACATAGTTTATAACCATTTTGTCCCTTCACCATAGAAAAACCTTAAGAATGTCTGGTTTTCAGTGGCACTGCTATATGGTGAGTAGTGAGTCTGCAGAGACAAGCTGGGGCCAAAATATGGAAGGGACAAACTTGATCAGCTATTCAATAGGAGCTGCTGAAAATATTTCAGCAGAAAAATAAAAGACGACTTTTGTGATGGTGATGTGAGGAATGGTCTAAAGTTGGGGGGGATAAGGCAGGGGATGTGAGGTAATATAGTCTTTTACTAGAGTGATGGCTATGAATAGCTCTAAGAAATGAAAAAAACTAATATTCAAACAGTTGACAAGACCCAGGAGGAGGCTAAATATAAAGAATGGAGAATGTTAGGTTGGGGGAATCCCTGGCTAGAGAATGGGAGAAAGCAGCCACCCTGGGTAAAAGTTTACTACAATAGACAAAGACAAAACTAGAACCCTGACCTGATTCCCCAGCGAATTCTCTTTCCACTAGAGCTGTTGACTGATTTGGAATGTTAATGTTGGTCTGAAAGACCACAAACTTCAGCAAGCAACTTGATATGGCATAACAGAAACTCAGTTAAATTATTTGAGGATTTTTTTTCTTGGACTATGGTTATAATTCTAACTTTTGTGTTAACTAGCTTTAACCTTGGGGAAATCACTTGCCTTTGACACCTTTCATGGTTTTTAAATAAATTTATTTTTGTTAATATTGCATAGATGTTTGTCTTGTCTATACCAATAATTTCTGAGGGCAGTAATATAGATAATATATGGATCTTTTACCATTGACTGTTTATAATATCCAAGAAGTGTCTTTGTAAAATGGTGTCAAATTAACCAGTATAAATAGTAAGCAACTCCTGTTAGAAACATGACGTGTTGATAAAAACACAAAACCTGAACTGTTTACATTAATTTAGGCTAGTGGGGAAGCTTCCCTGTTTTTTATTAGGCCTCTCACTAACTAACATTTCGAGCACTGATAGCCACCACCATGTCATACTTCATCACAAGAGAGAAAATGCTGTTTTACAGGAGAACCGTTTCCCCAAGTCCTTTTGTGTCCTTCTTCCAGAGCTCTTGAGTAGCAGCAATGAAGGACAGAGGGGACCCTGAGAACAAAGAATGGCACGGTTTGGCTTCTGTGACTTTCACTGGAGAAAAATGCGGTACACAAGTGTCTCTATTTAAGCTCCCACAGCCTCTTGTGACTCACAGGTACTTCAGTCCTCACTCCCATGCAGATGGCTCGTGGCACTTAGGCAGCCCACAGAGGAGGGACTCTGAACTCACAGCGTTCTCCCTACCCAGCACTCAGTTTCAGGACAACCTAAAGTTCCTGCTCCTGGAACTCTGGCCAACACACCCATCCTCTGGGGCTTCTTGGGGGGTATTGGCTCCTGCACAGGTGGGTGGAAGAGCTGAATCAGCAGAATAAAAGCAAAACTAAAGAAAGAAGACATTGTAAGGAAAAGAGCATAATCTGTGACTAATAAACACTGAGGTGGCTTTTTTATGTGATTTGTAAAATGTCTTTAAAGCCAATTCCAAAAGAAAAGTTTCAAAAATATTCTAAGTAATACTACCATCACTACATAAGTACATGGCCTCCCAAGGGTACCATGGTAAAGGATAATAACTTGACTCTATGAGTTATAATTGCTTTAAAACAATACTTCAGAGTTTATTTTATGATTCAATATAAAAAACACTGCTTAAGTGATGACTATGACCCACAAAGATAAGGAAATATGCAGGATACGTGTGGGATGGAAACACATTTACAGCCTAAGGACCAGATTCAGCACTATGTACTTCTGCATTGCATGTGTGTCTGTTAGTCGCTCAGCTGTGTCCAACTCTTTGTGACCCTAAGGACTGCACCCTCACCTGGCTCCTCTGTCCATGGAATTCTCCAGGCAAGAATACTGGAGTGGGTAGCCATTCCCTTCTCCAGAGGATCTTCCCAACCCAAGAATCGAACCCTGGTCTCCTACACTGAAGGCAAATTCTTTACTGTCTGAACCATTAAAAACTCTGAAGTTGCTGGACACTTGGTGAGGAAAAAGAAGATTTTAAGAAAGGTGTAAATGAATGGCACATGTAACTTCAAACCAAGCCTACCTTACAGAATATAGGGGTGTTTGGGTGAAGCAGAGTGACTAGCCCATCACAATTTTACATACAGAAGCAGCACAGTATGAGAGTACAGAAGTTTTTGTAGTTCAGCAGACCTAGTTTACATCCTGGCTTCACCTTTTTGCAGTTGAATAACCGTCTGTAAATTATTTAGTTTCTCTGAGCCCAAGTTTCCTTACCTATAAAATGCCTAGTGAAGTGCCTGACCAACAGAAAATATTCCATAAGTATCAGTTCCTCTATAAGGTTTTTTTTTTTTCTTTTTAGAAACTAAATGTCAACACCTATTGGTAGATTATGAAATCAATTTCATAGGTTACAACTAGCATATTTTAAAAACCAAAACAATAAAAAACAAAGTACACTGCACAAAAAGTATTGTTCCATAATGCATATGCTGAGTTTTGATATTAATGCATTTTTTTTTTACTATGGATTACAACCAAAAAGTTTCAGTCTCTGCTCGACAGAGAAATTCTCAGATTATTATATCAACAGGGCTTTAGGAATGCTGCCTGTATCCAAATAAGCCTCTGTAAATTTTAAGAACTTAAAATGTTCCTTACTTCTAACTTGCTGCAGTAAAAATAATACATGAATCATATAGAAGATAAATTTAATCTGATACTACAGGGCATTAAATTCAATTTTAAGACTGGTTTCTGTGTCATACTGACTAATTTATACTTCTAACACATTACAGTTTATAGGTATATCATTCATAGTTGATTAAACACTTATAGAAATTTCTACAAAAAGTTGGCTATTAGGCTCTCTTAATGAGGAAATTAGATACAATTTCTAAATAATTTTAAATTATAAAACTTTAAAAAAGGACTGTAACTTACATAAGTATAAAATATTACTCTACCTAGAGTAATATTCCCATCCTGATGAGCAGTAAAAAAAAAAAAAAAAAATTCAAGGCCTATATGAGCACATACATTGATGTCCCTCACTGGCTCAGTGAAAAGGAAAGATCCCAAAACAAAACGTGAGGGTCAACAATAGGCCTCTTTCCTCCACCAGGTCTTGAGTAAAACCAGCCTGACAGTATAAAGAATCCCCATTGCTGTTAAGATGGTGAGCTAGCCAACTTTGGATCGGCAAAATAGGAATAATATGCAGTGATGAAGACTGGGCTATGCTGAAGGGTAGAATACTAGAAATTACAGAAGTCAGCAGTTCAGCTGAATCTTGATGTAACTATATCTTAAATTCATAATTTTAGCTGACAGGATGAGAATGGCTATTATTAGAACCCATGGAAATGAAATACAGGAATTCTGTTTTAAATTAGCACCCTGGGCAATTCTGATCCTCATTCTGGCTTGAACATCCTGTGTTAAAGGGATAGCAAGGATCAGAAAACATAAAAAGGTGGAGTTCAAAAGTAATTATCCCAAATTCACAGGTATCTAATATCAAATACTGGATCAGAATCTGATGCTTATTCAAAGTACTCCCTTCTCAGTATTATACTAAAGATACAAGTCAGCAGGGAGCAATATGTTTTCCAGTTATTCAATAATGATAAGAAATGGTGTGTTGCCTCATTGGAATTCATTGGTGAGAAGCAAGAAGTATGAAAGAGAAAGGTCTCTTTAGATTAGACATACAAGTAAAAGACAGCAATCAATAAAAGTTATTAAGAGTAAACTCAGCAAGAGAGAAGTGATAAACCATTCAACCACCTGATGAATCCATCTGGTTCCTGAGCTGAGAGCTCACATCTTTTGTGGTATAGGTGCCCTTTCCTCTGTCCTCAGAAAAGAATAAAGAACAAGGCAAAAGGTGGTTCCTTCCTACCTCAGATGAGTTGAGGGTACAGGAAGAGGCTGCCCATAATCTTAAATTCTTTTTTTCTAAATTTAAAATTTCCCTGCTATTTGAAACAGACATTGGGTTGGGCTGGGTCATGCTTGCTATCAATGTCAAGTGTTGAAATTAGCACCACAAATCCTCCACCAGGACTGAGTCTTGGTGCCAGGCCTGGTCCATCATCAATCTTGACTGTGAGAAAAGGCAAGCATGAATGCTATTCTTGGGAAGAAATGCAGCTGCGCAAAGTGAAGGAAAACACAGGAAATAGTAAAACCTAGGGAAAAGGATGGTAGTAATGAAAGTGAGGTAGAAAGCTAGTTCTTAGCTCTTCCAATTGCCAGCTGAAAGACAGAAGAAATAGGGTCAAAGACTCGCTGCAGGGCAAGTACATGAGCCCCTTGAAATTGTAAGATGCCCCAAGAAATGATCTGGTTATCCCCGCCTTGCTTATTTTTTAGCTCAAAGTCTAACAACGTTTGAAGATTGACACCTCTCTCTACAATACAAAAGAGAAAAAACAGACTATGAGAAAAGTCTTCATTACACATGGGTAGAATTCATCCCATTAGTCAAAGAACTTTTCAAAATTACAAAGTTGAAAGGCAGAGAGGACGAGATATCTGAGGTGTTAAGAGATAGGCTGACTTGAGACTCTGTGTTCTTTATTTACAGAGAGGCAGAAGAAAGATTTCAGAGAAGAAGCTAGTGTCACAAATTAAGATATCTGAAGGAGAAATTGGGCCTCTTTTTCCATTTTCTTACAATATTTATTTCCTTTACTGGAAAACAGTGTTAGACCAAACGGCAACAGGGCTCACCAAATGGACTCCATTATGTAGTACACTTGGGCCCCTTGCTAGATCCTGATTTCCCTATTTGATGTGAAAAGCTCCTGAACTTCCAGTCTTTTCTCTGCTAAACTGCCTAAATAATGTATATTTAGGAGTTAAAGAAGCATATATACAATATGCTTAGCCTTGGAGTCTCCAAGTCAAGGTCATGGAAGAAACTATTCTGAAAACAGTCCTTCCATAACCCAACATGTCCACAGATCACAAGTCCTGATCAAAGTTATAGGTTTGGTTTTCACATTTCCAAGTAGAAAATCTGTTCCCTGGCAGTTCTTAAACTTTATCTGACAAATATTGTACACCCTCAGTCCAGGCTCCTCAATTTCTCACATCTCCATTAATACCCCAGCAAACAACAAAATGCATCCTCTTATCACAGTTCAATCCCACTTGAGCATCTACAGCCACTATTTGGATATAATCATGTTCTGAAAGCTGACCGGGTGTCCAACAGCAGCGAAGGTCGTCATTAGGATAGATGTGTTGGCACCAACAATACTGAAGTTTGGTTTTTAACTGCATTTTTTGTCAGTTTGGCTGGGGAGATCTGGACAGCTGGAAGTGAGCTTCTCCATCATTTTCTGCTTCCTTCTTTGTATCAGTTTTCCACCTGTGAAGCCCAACACCCCACCCCCAAGCGCAGCTGCAATCCCTGCCACTTTGAAGCCTGCGAGGAGGCCGATCGGGCCCCCCACCACTCCTCCGATGAGTGCACCTGCCACAGGCAGGGCTGCCAGCTTGTATTTTGCAGCCTGTAAAAAAAAAAAAATTCAATTTAGAAATTGAGTTGAGAATATCTCCCTGTGGTGATGTGCATTTTCCTCTCATTACTCCTGGCAATGTCTCTTTAACTCGAGGCACATAATTAACCTTAGAGATTGTTCTGGGGTCGGGGGAGGGGAGAAAGTATTCCACAGGTACTCTAATTGCTCCAGATCTCAGAACTCAGAGAAACGAGCTACAAAGAGTGGACTGCTACAGATTGATTTTACTTGCAAAACAATCCACTAACTAGCTAGCTAGCTCATTTAAACAGTTTCAGGAGCCACAGATACTCCCAAAGCTTTTATGTTGCACACAGATTATTCCATGCTATGTACCTGGGTCAAAAGCCGCGTTCTGTGGGAAATAGATGGACCCACACCACGAGTGCTGTCGTGCCCCTAACTGTGGCCCCTGCTGGGCTCTGCCAACCCTCTCTACTCCTCTCCCGGACCCTGAAAATACTCTTGTAACACCAAGGGCCATATAGCAGGGCTTCAGTTTACTCTCTCTCTGAAAAAATCTCTCTCCCAACAAAAGGAATCTTAGAGTAGATTATTACAACCACCATTGATTTCCTGCACTACCTATGTGTCATTTCTTCCTTATTTTCTTAATTGCTGGTTCCCTCAACATTAAAGAGAGCAGATCAATTGGGTTAATACTAGGGACTCCTGAGAGCCAGAGCCCCATTGATTTGTCAGCAGGAGCAGAATCTCACCTTCCCCAAGTTTTTGGTTCCCTCTTCAACATTCACAGCAGCACTGTTGACATGGTCCTCAATGCTGTCAATCTTCTCCTGCTGAGACTAGATGCAAAGGAATTATGAGTGAGCGTTCCTGCTGGGGAGCAGCAGTCAGCCAATACACACTACTTTAATTCCTGTAATCAGAGCCCTGGGTACTGCAGCCTTGCAGTCTTAATAGCGGTTCATTAATAGCATCTGATAAACCATGTTGAAAGTACAAATTCACTTGTATGAAAAAAAGAGGGTGACTTAATTATTAGACAAGAAAGGGGTGGCACCTTTATAGGAAAAAGCATCTCACACTAAAATCCATTCTAACATACAAACATATTATTCTCCAAATGAATCTCCTTTCCAGGAGGAAAAACATCCAAATAAGCATTTACGTGTCATGTGAGGTTTGATGGAAAAAAACAAAATCAAACCAAAAAGCCTTTCTAACTTATTTTCTTTGAAGATTCCGTTTAAAACAGAGAAATCTGTCTCAGGAGTTAAATGCCCTTGATCCAATAAACACAAGTTATTATGTTTTAGGAATAAAAATATAATATGGCTTGATCTGCCATAAAATTGTTCCGTTTGTGATACGCACTGGGGAGCAGTGAATGACCTTACTGCCCCATGTCTGACACTTGTACACTTCAATACATTTAAAAATCATGACAAGTTAAACTGTTTCAGATCACACATATCAATAAAGACTTCTACATAAAGTGGCAACGCCTGTGCTGACACAACAGAAACAGGGACTCTGGGTGGAAGTGCATCTCCCCTCGGCTGTGTGAAGCCCCACTGCACAGCTTCTGACAAGCGGCCACTGAATCTCAGCTCAAACACCTCCCGGGACAAGAACTCACTACCGGACAGAGGAACATATTCCCATTTTTAGAAAACTTTATTTCTATGGAATTTACATATAATATGCAACCAATGCTCAGGGCATATCCTCTGATTAGTTCTCACACATGTATAAATTCATGTAAGCACAATCACATCAACATACAGACTGCTTACTTTTGAGGGTTTTTTTAAATTCACAGAAAAAAGAAGAGAATCCCTCTTCGACCCCAGATAAATGCCAAACTAGACTCCACTCACAGCTCAATCTGGACCCTGTTTGTCCACCAGGACCCTGGCTTTTTATGCTGGGCCAAACCATACATACACAACTTTATTCCACTACAGGACACCAAGCCCCAAACAATAAAGCCTCCTCACCTCTATCTACCAACCTTCCCTTTTGCTTCTGATTTACTTATGTTTGCTCTCATTGACCTAGGCCTCCCAAATCTGACAACCATCAACTTGACACTGACACCTCATATTGTTCTCAGTAACCCTTTAACAATGATTTAAACCATTTATGAGGATCACTGTAGTTTTCTCAAACTAGAGTAATGAATAGACTTTTCCTTTTTAAAGGAAAACAATTCTCCAAAGAATCTAAGAATATGTTTATGGATTTAACACTGACTTAGGTTTCCTTACCTGCCTGAAAAAAATAACAGAATCTTAATAAGCAGTTATAAGAGCACCTAAGATTCTAGGGGGAAATGTGATTTATTAAGTAAATATTTGTCAAGTAGAATGCAATTTGGGCATTTGAAGTCAAAACCATGAAGAACTGTTTTGGTAGTTGTACAGTTTTATTAATGTTCCTGGAAAGATACAGGTTTAAGAAACTAATGCCAAAATTCCAGGTATGTTCCTTTATTCTTCTCTCTCTAAATTCCAGCCAGCTTTCAAGGCCAGCTTTAGTCTTAGATCCCAACCAAGCTATCTTGGTTCTGAGCTCCAAAGATAGATAATATACTCACCTTAATTATATGCACTCATACACAGAAAAGCCCAGAAACAAACAGACAAACGCTATGATACACAGGCAGAGTCTTCTGGCCTAGAGTAGGCAACAAGCAGGGTGGGTAAGTATGGTGTTGACATCAGGGGACTCCAGTAATAGGAAAGGGACTATAGGAACTACAGTACTAAAATGTCTAAAGGTACTGGAGGTGGCAAAAGTAGAACCCTAAGCAAAGAGGGAATCACACAGGGAGGAACAAAGGCAAGAAGGCAGTGGTCAGGGCAGGCAGTGGTGTGTGTGTTAGTCACCTCGTCGTGTCCTACTCTACCCGGGAACTGCAGCCTGCCAGGCTCCGCTGTCCGTGGAATTCTCCAGGCAAGAATACTGGAGTGGGTTGGCATTTCCTCCTCCAAGGGGAGGGAAGGGAGTGGGAAATAAGACAATATCTCAGGGAGTCCTCCCATCCATTTACAAAGCTACGTGTTGTTAACATCCTGAAGGTCACATAAATAATAAATGGAAGAATCTGATCTAATCAATTACAGCCCAGTTTTATGCATTGGGAGTAAAACTTAAGTATAAAAGCCATACAGGATGTGGCAAAAGGTAGAGACAAAACTGGATGAGCAGCAACAGTGACAAGCTATTGAGCAAATGGCCCAGAGTTTTCCTAATTCCTCTTGACTAGAAACAGGGCTGGTTCCACAGTTGCAGGAACAGAAGAGGGCACTTGAGCAATAAGGCTGAAGAAAAAAAAGAGGGTGCCTAGTAGATATTAATTAACGTTTACTGAAATATACATGGATCTCTTAATGGCTTTGCAAGTATTATGGTAAAAGTATATATAAAATTTACAATTTTTAAGTGTATAATTCAATGATATTAAGCACATTCACAATTCTGTGTAACTATCTTCACTGTCCTATAGGTTCTTTTTTAATACTACTCTCTATTCTTCATTGTACTGAGTTTAGCACAATACTATGCACACAGATAGCGTTCCATAAATACATGGTTAATTAGCCTAAATACTATCATGTCCATGTGATGATAATGAAAGGATGTGGTCACTCTAGTTATGTTTCCAAATCGTATCGTGTCTAAATGGAGTTTCTGTTGAGTCCGTGACCATGTGGTCATGAGGATGCAGTCACTCTGGGAACAGTCATCAGGGGCTCTGCTTTGAGCTTTTGCCTAATAGCATTCTGTCTCATGTCCTTACACAGACTATTATAAAGAGGACGTCTGTATAGAGCCATGGTTATACCCAAAGTTGTCTTGTACAAATCTTCCTTAGATTAGGGGTTAGGAGCTGCTTACATAACCTAATAGGAAATATAACTTGCTAAATTGCCACAAACCCTTAAATTCCCTTTCATGTGCCTATCTCATTGGAAGAGAAATGCATTCATTTTGAATGAGAACTTGTACATGTTTAGTTTTCTTTTTATATCAACTTTGAGGTATAATTTACATACATTGTAACTCACCCATTTTATTGTGTAAATATTAATGATTTCCAGCAAATGTAAATATCTGTGTAACCCTACATGTACAGATTTTACAAACTGCATTATATCAGATTCTGAGTTACAAAAATTGAATAAATCATGATTATAAAAACAAATATTTTTATTATCATATAATTCTCTTTCATACACAACTATATTAACAGATTGTATAAATACCTAACTCAGAAATTTCAAGCATTTTGCTGCTTCTGATTCAGAAGCATAAAAAAGGAAAATGCTTCAAACAATTTACTATGCTCAATTTTAGGTGTTACATTTTGAGAAATAAACCCACAAACTAGAGTAAATAACTAGTACTGAAAAGCTAAGAAATTAGACTCTAGAAAAAACATTAGAGAATCAAGGGTTCTTAAGAGAAGGAAATATGCTGAAGTGTGGTTGGGTGAGGAAGGATAATGTTGATCTCAAAAAGCTGAAAATTTTTGTTTCCTTTCCACTATGTTTTAGTACAAGAATATTGAATATATTTCCCTGTGTGATTGGGTAGGACCTCATTGCTTATTTACTCTATACATAATACAAATTATTTGCGTCTGCTAATCACAAATCCCGTCTATTCCGCCCTTGTCCGCTGCCCCTGTGGCAACCACAAGCCTGTTCTGTCTGTCTGTGAGTTTGCTTCTGGTCTGTAAATAAGTTCATTTGTGTTAGACTTTAGGTTCCAAGTATAACTGATATCATATGGCATTTGTCTTTCTCTTTCTGACTTCACTTAGTATAACCTCTAGGTTCATATATGTAGCTGCAAATGGCATTATTTCATTCTTCTTTATAGCTGAGTAGTATATAGAAAACCCTAATAACTCCACATAAAAACTACTAGAATTGACAAATGAATTCATGAAGGTAGCAGGATATAAGATTAAAATTTAAAAATTCCTTTTAATCACATAAAAAAATACTTAGGCATAATAAACTTGGCCAAGGAGATGAAAGACTTATGTGCTGAGAAGTATCAAACACTGGTAAAGGAAAGATGGTTGAAAGCAGCAGACCCATGCTCTTGGACTGAAGGAACTAATATTGTTAAAATGGTCGTTCTACCCAAAGCAATCTGCAGACTTAATGCTCTCAAACTACCCATAACATTTTTCACAGAACTACAACAAATAATCCTAAAATTTATATGGAACCATAAGAGACCCAGAATTGCCAAAACCATCCTGAAGAAAAGGAAGAAAGCAAGAGGGCTTCTCCGGTGGCCCGGGGGTTCAGACTCTGCTCGCAGTGCAGGGGACACAGGCTCGATCCCGTCCTGAGACGATCCCAAATGCAGGGGCCGGCTAAGCCTGGCTCCACAAGTGCTGAAGCCTGAGCACCGGGAACCTGAGCTCCTCAACAGGGGAGCCACCGCAATGAGCAGCCCTGCAGGCCGCAAGGAGAGAAAGACCTAGCACAGCCAAAAGAACCCAACAAAGCAGGAGCGCAGCTCTCCCAGACTTCAGACGCCACGACAAAGCTCCAGTAACAAAAACAGCACGGTACTGGCAGAAACAGACACATGGGTCAAGGGCACAGATCAGAGAGCCCAGAGATAAACCCACACGAGGAGGCAAGAGCACAGAGAAGGAGAAAGACGGTCTCTCCAGCAAGTGTGCTGGAGCCACGCGTGAATCAGCGAGGTCAGAGCAGTCTCTCACCACACACAGACACAAGCTCAACACGGCGTGAAGACTGAGATGTGAGACAGACACCATGAAGTGAACACAGGCAAAACATTCTGACATAAATCACAGCAATCTTTCCTAAAGTCAAGCTCCCAAGGTAATAGAAATAAAAGCAAAAATAAACAAGTGGGGTCTAATCAAACCTATATGTTTTTGCACAGCAAAGAAAATCACTTAAAAAAAAAAGACAATCTATAGACTGGGAGAAAATATTTGCAAATGATGTGACCAACAAGAGATTAATTTCCAATATATACAAACAGTGCATACAACTCAATAACAAAAAAGACAAACAATCCAATCTAAAAACAGGCAGAAGATTGAAATAAACATACAGATAGCCAATAGGCATGTGAAAATATGCTCAATGTCTCTAACTATTAGAGAAATACAAATCAAAACTATAATGGGGTACCACCTCACACCAGTCAGAATGGTCATCATTAAAAGGTCTATAAACAACAAACGCTAGAGGGGGTGTGGAGAAAAGGGAATCCTCCTACACTGTTGATGAGAATGTAAATTAGTACAGTCACTCTGGAAAACAGTATGGAAGTTCCTCAAAACACTAAAAACAGAGTTCCCATATGATCCAAAAATGCCCCTCCTGGGCATACATCTGAAGAAAACTATAATTTGAAACGACACATTCACCCCAATGTTCACAGCAGCACTCTTTACAATAGCCAAGACATGGGAGTACCCTAAATGTACATCAACACAGAATTATGTCATTTACATACATTGACAATTTTATGTCTTCTCTTCCAATTTGGATACCTTTCTTTTTTCTTGTCTGATTCCCATGGTTGGGCCTTCCAATTCTATGGTGAATAGAAGTAATGAGAGTGGGCCTCCCTGTCTTGCTCCAGATTTTAGTGGAAAGGCTTTCAGCTTATCACTGTTGAGTATTATGTTGGTTGTGGTGAAAAACTTTTATAAGGAAAAAAGACTTTTTCAGGACAGGGTTTCAGAGGGCAAAAGTACCAGAGGGAAGTTATTAAGGGCAAAGTTGACTTTACATAAGAAAAAAACTTCTATGAGTTAGAGCCTCCAAATGGAATGAGTGTATCTCTGCACTGTGATTGTTCAAAAGGAGGCAAAAGATTATCTATTTGAGAGGCTTGAGCAAGAGTAGAAGCATCAGATTAATAGGCCTCATAAGTCCTTTCCAATTCCAAACCTCAGATCGTGTGACCTAGGAACGTTCTATAATTTAAAGTCAGATGTCAGGGAAACCATAATTCAAAGATGTACAACCCCTAACTCATGGTTTGATCAAGAACAATGAACTAAACCCAGACAGAAGCATATGCAGAAACAGACATGCACCTGTGTACACACACACACCCTTTCCCATAATTCCTGGGAAGGAAAAATAAGAGTAACTTACAAAAATAATGACAAAAAATCTGTTCTATCTTTCCCACCAAATCAACTTTTGTTCCCCAATCTTTGTTAACAGTATCACTGGCCACCCAATTATGTAGAATAAAGCCTTAATTTATTTTGACTCTTCCACCTTTCTCCAATTTCTCATAAGTCGACCTCAGAAATGCCTCTAGGCTGCCTTTAACCTTTGTATTAATATTTGTATTGCTATGCATTCAGTGAAACTCTTGCAATTGATTCCCAAAGTCCTTCCACCTATAATCTCCTCCCGCCCAGGGCAATTATTCACACTGCTAATAGTGATCTTTCTGAAGCATAGACTATCACAACGCTCTATCTGCTCAAAAATCTACTGGCTCTTTAATATATACAAAGTAAAGTTCAAATTCTTTGCTATGGCTTTCAATAGCATCTCAATCTCCTTGCTTAGTTTACCCATGGTACCTTATGCATTAGTCACATTGCTAACACTTGTTATTCCTGAGGACAGTTGTGTCCAACCCTTTGTGACCCCATAGACTGCAGCCTGCCAGGCTCCTCTATCCGTGGGGATTCTCCAGACAAGAATACTGGAGTGGGTTGCCATGCCCTCCCTCCAGGGGATCTCCTCAACCCAGGGATCAAACCCAGGTCTCCCGCATTGCAGACAGATTCTTTACCAACTGAGCCACCCAGGAAGCCCATACACTTTTCTATTCTATGTTTTTGTTTAGGTATCTTCAACTGCACCCCTCATTCCCACCTGTGGAAATTTTACTCAATTTCCAAGGCTCAAGAAAATGCTACCTATCTCATGGCACTACTCTTAATATGCCACGACACCTGCAACTTTCCCTTGGAATTAAACACTTCTCCCTGGGGCCAATAATACTTTTCATACCTTATTTTTGCATTTAACAATAATTCTTGAAATTTCAGTTTTGGTGAGGTCCAAGTTTATGGCCACCCACTGTAAATCCCTGAAGGCAGAGAGCAGGATTCACTTATTTCTATATCCAATCTTGTCAGAACCCTAATACCCAGTATATTCTACATAAAAAATGCTCAATAAAATTTTTTTAATTGAAGTGGGATTTGAGGACAATTAAGACTTCGGTCCATGGCTCGATACCAGTCTTAGCAATTGTAAATTCTATTAAAATTCTAATCAGAAGTCTAGTAATTGATAAAAGCCTCTTATTCTATTAATCCAACATCTCTGAGTCAAAAACAGTTATGTACTCACATTCACTAGGAGAGAGAAATCAGTGACCAGTTGGCTAAGTTCAATTAAGTCCTTAAAAAGAAAGAGAAAGAGGAAATTACTTACTTTCAAGCCTCACAGCTGCCAAAAGGAAAATCATTTCTAACATACCGCTTCTAAGGTCTCCCATGATTCTGCAGCATTTTGATCTCGAGGAATTTCAGGCAATGCATAAATCTGAGTCATACTCTGAGGATCAGCTTCATCTTCAGTACTGTGAAATGTTCCTGGATTAACATAGCCTCATGTTTAGAGTATATCTGCTTTGTTAGAAAGATGGTAGCATGAATCAATTCCATGAAACAATTACCATGTGAAATGCTTACTAATTAAGTTAGGCTAAAAGTAAATTGATTATCTATGGAGAGGTTAGTTAACAAACACTATTTTTTTAATTATTCTACAAAATCATCTAAGAAAATTACTACAAATACTACTTACCCAGTCTGAACAACTAGGGCTAAATGCTGAAGTAGCATAAAGTAGAACTATTCTATTTGGCCAATGTTCTATGAAGAGATAACCTAGTCGAAATAACACTTTTCATTGCTAAATCATTAACATTTTCTTTGACTATTTTAGTAATAAACATCAGATTCACAAGATTTTAAAAGTAGGGAAATGATGCGTTTTTAGCAATGAAAAATCAGTCATTTTTGGTAATAGCTAATTGTTATTAAACACCTCTTACCATGTGTATCTTTTTGCACACACTGTCATCCTTCTCCTCAGAGTAAGTTTTCTGGCCTGTGCCTTCATTCTTCTATGTCTTTTCTGAATTTTAAGTCATCAACCCTTGAAGCCTTTCCTCATTTAACACTGCTATAAAGATGAATTTATACTCCAAATTCTACCTCCAAGTCTTTCTTATTACCTCCTCCTTGGTCTTACCAATGTCATTAAACTGATATTTATAAAAAGCCTACTATATGCCAATCAATCTGCTAAGGTAAATCAGTTCCAAGAAGTCATAGTGGTTAGGAGTATTGGCCTAATTAGAAAGACCTGGGTTAGAATCCCAATTTGCCTATTTTCCAGCTCTTTGATTTCTTTGGCTTATTTCCCTCATTTGTAAAATAAGGTGATGTTTATTTTACATGGTGCCTGGCTTATCTATTAAGAATACTGTCACTGCTGTTACTGTTTATGGAGTTTACTATATAATGTGTGAGACAGACATGTTTACAGGCAAGTTCAGTACAGTCTGAAAAGAACTCTGATGTGGGGAAGCATGGTATGCTCTGTGAGCACAGAAGAGAGGAGAGGCGTTTCACTGAGGCCTGCAGAGAAAGAGCGATCCGACAGGCTGTGAAGCCAAAGCCTGACGATGAGCAGGAATTATCATGCTGCACCGAGGTAAGCGTGAAGGGGGAGGAGAGAATGTTCAGGTCAGAAAGACTAACATGCATAAGTCTAGGAACTGAAACCAGTCAGGATAGCTGAAGCACAGACTATGACAAGAGAAAGCAACGGTTGAGACTGGAAATCTAAGGTGACATCGTTTATGACACTGTAAATTACATTAAAGAGTTGTCTTTCTCTTAATATCAATATGGCACTTTTAAAAGTATTTGGAGACTACTGGGACATGGAGGGTGCCATAATCAGATTTCAGATTTAGAAAGGTAACCACAGCTGTAGTGTGAAGAACAGATTAAGGATGGAGTTGAAAGACAAAAAATTAGAGAGTGAAAACCAGTTGGGAGGCTCTTCAATGCGTCTGGTGCTAAATGATGACAGTGTGCTCTAGTGGCAGTGGAAATAGAGAGATGAGATCTGAAGGTCTACTTCCCTTTGTCTTCCTTACTGAAAGCTCAAAACATCTAGTACTTTAATATTTCTGAGCATCCATCATGTATTGGGTTTAGCATCAAGGATAAAAAAAATGAACAGTACGAAGTAGCTGTTCTCAAAGAACTTACATTCTAGAAAAGTAAACATACAAACAGGCAATCCTAAAACAATAAGAGACTGCACTGATATCTAGATAAATAGATACAGACACCTACAGTGTTTGTGGGAGTTTCAAGCTGGGCATGGCATCTGACCAAGTTTGATGTGGTGTGCAGTTTATGGAACAACTTACTAAAAAAGGTTAATTTTTTCTTACTGGGCTAAGAAGACATGAATATAAATTCTAAATAGAGAGACCAACATGAAAAAGGTCCTCAAAAAATACCCAGTATAGCTTAACATAAAATCAGCAGTCTGGTCTTGCCAAAGCATAAAGTTGAAAACATATAGCTACAAGTATAAGACATTATAGATGGTTAGCAGGGACCTTGAAGCCCAGTTAAAGACTTTGGACTTTATCTGGAAGACTGTGGAAATCTACTAAAGGTTACAAGCAGGAAAGTAACATAGTGATGTGACCTGATGTATTCCTAAAAGTCAGTCATTATGACTCCTAAGTTCATCTTTTCTATCAATTTCTCTTTTCCTCTAAGCCTACGCAGTTGTGTTAGTCGCTCAGCCGTGTTCAACTCTTTGTGACCCCGTGGGCTGTAGCCCGCCAGGCTCCTCCACCCATGGGATTCTCCAGGCAAGAATACTGGAGCAGGTTGCCATTCCCTTCTCAAGGGGGGGTCTTACTGACCCAGGAATTGAACCCAGGTCCCCTGGATTGCTGATGGACTCTTTACCATCTGAGCTATCAGGGAAGCCCCTCTGAATAGTATTTTATAAAACTGCATTACTATTTTACCTTCATTACCTTGTGAATGTTTTACCTCTTAAGAAATAAAACCTATTTGAATTCTTTAGGAAGGGCAGTCAGTTGATTAAAAGTTAATTTGTAGGTTTATCAGAATTGACAATGTTCTTTTAATTTTGAATCTTAACTGAAATGAATATATTTCCCTACCTTAAAGGAAGAGCAAAATCAACACATACAGAGTAAAGTTTTACATTACAACATATGGCAAATATCCAACATATTAAAAGCTCTGATTTTTACAAACGTTTAGGAGAGTTATTTACTCCATGTCTTAAGTTATCAGATAAAAAAACTTTTTACTTCAAAGTAATTAATTACTCTAAGATCTTTCTTCTACTTAATATTCCATTTGCAATAAGAACTCCAGCTTCCTTAATAGGATGATAAACAATGATACCTCTTTTCATTAACATATCAAATGTAAAGCAAAACTCTGTAAATATCACTGGAAAGACTTTTTAAAGCCGTAGTCACTGTGCCATTAGAGACGCTTCCAGGGCAGTATGCCAGGGTGTGCAACAAGATGAGGAGAGATTATCGTACAAAAACTCTCCATCTAAAAATGAAGGGATGGGAACTGTTTGACATTTTAAGCAAACATAAAAGATTTCCCTCAATGAAAAAAATAATTAAATGTTTAAGTCATTTACGTTTCACTTGAAACCAAACTGCGTATGCATCTTAGTTCAAATGGAGTCTTAGAACAAAGAAATCTGTTCTCTTCCATGGAAAATCCTGCTGTAAACTTACAACTCAGAACATTGCTAATCAATTCAAGGCATGACTAACAATTAAGAAAGGAACCTCTTAATTTCTACAACTTCTGTAATTCATTTATTCCAGTTTGTATTAAAAATCACTATCTCAGTGTTCATCCACTGACTTTGAACTTTTACAAACTACTACAGACATAATGAGGCAAAATACAGAGATTATAGCTGCAGGAAAGACGGCCAAAGAATTCTCACCCTGTGTCCACTGAAGTCAAGACTGCTGCTGCTGCATAACAATCTCAGTTTCACTCACTCGCAAGCAACTGCACGTGTGAAGTGCAGGTGGAATATGGTATCACTGAGCAGTGCTATTCAGATTCTATTTTTTTAAAACATTATTGATTATAAACTCAAACATTAAGATATTTTTAGTTGATGTGAGAAATAAGCTTAGTAACATAGACATAAGACTTTTTCGTTCTATGCATCTAAACTATTCTCTCTATACCCTCCCCATCTCTCTCCACATATCAGGAAGGGCAATGATTCCAGTAAGAAGCACAACACAATATTTAAGGAACTTCCACTACATTTTACATTAGGAAAAGTTCCATTTTAAATCTAAGTTAATTCAAAAGCATTTCCTGAATTCTTTCATGTTCTAACAGCTTTAGCATAATGAAATTATTTTACTGATCATCTATATAAACCTATTAAGATAAAGTGACTTTGGAGTCATGGTTTAACTTAGCTGCAAAGGAGCATTTTTAAGAAAATTGAAGCCAATTCAAAAGACACCTTCTAAGTAATATATAAAAACATGATTCACAATGTGTTCAATACAAGTGTACATATACCTGTGATAAAATCTAGTATTTCATCAAATTCAAATATTGGTCTGAAGTTCCCAGCAGTTTTAATGTTGGACTCTTTTCTTTTGTGAATAGCTGTTTAAAATTTAGTGAGATTCTGTTCCTATTGCACTGGTGAAGTGTGTGAGCTGGATGGGAAGTGAGAAAGACAAAGACAGGGAAGCACTGATTTGCTCTATATGACTTGATACACCTTGCTAAACACAAATCAAATTTGGAGGCTCGTCACTTCTCTTGGTGGGAAGCAATATGGTAAAAATGAAACTAGATACACAACTGAGACAGAAGGGAGTTTCTCAGATCAAGCAAGATTGGCAGAGAAGATGTGCTTTAGAAACTCTCAGAATCTGGACAAAAGATACAGCAAAATCATCACAGCTTCCCCCTAAACGTAATAGGCTTCTTTTCATTCTCCAGAAAACATAAAACATTCTATTCTACTTGTTATTTCTATCTGTAAATGAAAAAGTATTTTTGCGTTTTGATCTCAGTCATGGAAATGTGGCATTGCTCCTGAATTTCTGCTCTCATGTTTCCAACCAAGTTATTTATAATCAGATTGAATTTTTAAAGGAAAAAGCATTTTAAGGCACTTAAATTTCTGTGCAAATCATTTTTTTTTTTTCTGTATAAGCTGTCACTACTGTTATGAGTACCAAAAGCAAAAATAGGAAAAAAGGGAAAAAGAAAAAACCCAGAGAGCACAGGATAAAAACATGCAGGATGACAGAAAAGAGTCTACAGCTAGAAGACCACACATAGAGCAAACCCAGTTCTTTCCCCACTATTAAAAGTCTTATGTAAATTAGTTATTTCCTTAACACAACCTAGTAGTAACTTGAAAGTCTGGTGAAATACTCAGGCACTGAGTGAGACGGTTAATTTTAACTGCTTCATGTGGGCAATGGATACAAAGTCAAAGCACAATCTGACCAGCAGACTGTTCAGAATTTGAAACTATACACCCTGTTTTAGATTATGAGTTTTTTTAGATGTTTAGATTATGAGATTCAGGTATCTGATCTCATAAATGGAATGACTGTTTCAATCAAATCTGCACTAGATGCAGAGATTTAATTTCATAGTTTCTCTCAGTGGCAAGTGATTAGTTCTTTAGCTAATCTGGTGCTCCATGAATTGAGAAGTTTGAGAATCAACAGAGGTGGAAAACAAATTTCACCTGCTATTTCCTCTCCCTCACCCTCTAGCTCTGCCCCAATCTTCTTCACTTTCTCCATATACATGCTTCCTCAAATTTTCCCATCACTTTTTTTTTAATACCAGTCAGCTACCTACAGAGAAAGTTAATTGCCAGCAAACTGGGTAAACTGCCTTTTTCTAATAATCACCCAATTCCTCTGATGACATGTAAAACCAAATTTGTTGAGCCCAAGCAATTTTACTAGTAAAAACACAAACAATGCAATACCAAAATGCAAATTAAGGCTAAAACACTTAAATAGAACTCAAAATTTTTGTTTGTGAGGGAATTGCTGGTGATGGGCAACTGAAAACTAAATAGCAGAAGAGACTGATACCAGTGATTCTTTCCAGAAAACCCACCATCCTCACTGTTATTAATACCATCACAGCTGTCACAGGGTCTGCTAAATAAGACGACTCCTTAATCTCACGGAACTTGTAAGGCCCAGTTTCTCTATACATAAACAGAAAGCATAGCTTTGTACTTCAGTTAGAACAGCATTTAGCAACATCATTATGGAGGTGATAATTCTATATGAACACAACGATATAAACAGTAAAAAGAATTCTTCCTAAATACTCTTCAACCAAGGTTGAGTGCTAAGATTTCTTTCTACCCAAAACAATACTTTGGGTAGTGTTGTTAGGCAGTGGTTATCTACACAGTGAAGTGACGAGAGCACATCTGAAATTACAAAATTGCATCTAAAAAGATTTTTAATCATTCATACTTATAACACATTTATTAATGGTCCACTATGTGCCAGGTTCTATGTACTATATGCTGAGGTACTGAGGAGACAATAAAAGTAAGATTATCCAGAAACTCTGGATGATGGCCTAAATGTTTCTTCTATTTAAAACAAAAGAAAAGAGCCCTGTGAAATTGGATCATTAGCAGAAAATACAGCATTAAACAATCCTGTGAAATTGGACCATCAGCACTGAAAACACAGTGTCAAACAATCAGGCTTTGGAGCGACACAGGAGCCCCCACTTTCTGGGCCAATAAAACGAGGAAAATGGGTCAGATTAACGTCTCTCAGATTGCATTCTAATTTGTAATTTATTTACTGCTGTCCTCAGATGCTTTGCGGCACCATGGATTGCAGCTCACCAGGCTCCACTGCCCATAAAATTCTCCCGGCAAGAATACTGGCATGCGTACATGTTAGGTTGCTTCAGTCATGTCTGACTCTGTGACCCTATGGACTGTAGACCACCAGGCTCCTCTGTCCATGGGATTCTCCAGGCAAGAATACTGGATTGGGTTGCCATGCCCTCCTGCAGAGGATCTTCCCAACCCAGGATCTGAACCCACGTCTCTTACATCTCCTGCATTGGCAGGTGGATTCTTTATAACTAAGGCCACCTGGGAAACTCAACATCAGAAAACCTAGTATCATGGCATCCAGTCCCATCACTTCCTGGCAAATAGAAGGGGGGGGGGGAGTGAAAGCAGTGACAGATTTTATTTTCTTGGGCTCAAAAATCACTGCAAATGGTAACCACAGCCATGAAATTATGATGCTTGTTGCTCCTTAGAAGGAAAGTTATGACAAACCAGGGCTTCAGTGATGGCTCAGATGGTAAAGATTCTGCCTGCTATGTGGGAGACCTGGGTTCGATCCCTGGGTTGGGAACATCCAATGGAGAAGGGAATGGCAACCCACTCTAGTATTTTTGCCTAGAGAATTCCATGGACAGAGGAGACTGGCAGACCACAGTCCATGGGGTCGCAGAGTGAGACACAACTAAGTGACTAACATATATATATGTATATGTATGTAGATATGTGTATATATATATATGACAAACCTAGACAGCATATTAAAAAGCAGTGACATTACTTTTTCCGGTAGTTATATACAGATGTGAGAGTTGGACCATAAAGAAGGCTGAGCACCAAAGAATTGATGCTTTCGAACTGTGGTGGTAGAGAAGACTCTTGAGAGACTCTTGGACTGTAAGGAGATCAAACCAGTCAGTCTTAAGGGACATGAACCCTGAATATCATTGGAAGGACTGATGCTGACGTTGAAGATCCAATACTTTGGCCACCTGATTCAAAGAGCCAACTCAATGGAAAAGTCCCCACTCACTGGAAAAGACCCTGATGCTGGGAAAGACAGAAGACAAAAGGAGAAGGGGTGGCAGAGGATGAGATGGTTAGAAAGCATCACTGACTCAATGGACTTCAATTTGAACAAATTCCAGGAGACAGTGAAAGACAGAGGAGCCTGGGCTGCTGCAGTCCATGGGGTTGCAAAGCGTTGGACACTACTTAGCAACTGAACAACAATTTATTTATACCCCACCTTTTCCATAAAGTTTTAAGGTGGCTTAGAACATGTATAAAATATAATAGGATGCATAAATTAAAAAGAGAAATTCAAAGGAAAAACAAGGGCAGTAATGGCAAAATAAAGCCAGGAAAGTTCAAAATTTAGGCTTTTGGCAGTTAAAAAATTTATATTTACGTATTCTAGTAAACTTCCCTGGTAGTGCAGCTGATAAAGAATCCACCTGCAATGCAGGAGACTCCAATTTGATTCCTGGGTCAGGAAGATCCACTGGAGAGGGACAGGCTACCCACTCCAGTATTCTTGGGTTTCCCTGCTGGCTCAGTCAGTAAAGAATCTGCCAGCAATGCGAGAGGCCTGGGTTCGATCCCTGGGTCAGGAAGATCCCTTGGAGAAGGGAACAGCTACTCACTCCAGTATTCTGGCCTGGAGAATTCCACAGACAGAGGAGCCTGGCAGGCTACAGTCCATGGGGTCACCAAGAGTCAGACAAGACAGCGACTTTCACTTTCTTTCTTTTTTTTGACTTTCACTTTCTTTTACATTCTAGTAAACAACTTAAGCAGAGAAACTCTGTTAGTTATGCCATTCAGTATCTATAAGAATAAAAAAGATTAACTGCTTTGAAGTGCTACTAATTAAACCAGTAATTTTTTTCAGGTTTCTTTATACATACATTGTTTAATATAATCAACAATTATCAATTACATCCTTAGAGGCGCTATAATGACAGGTTTTACTGGCCTCTTCCTTAGAGTATCACTTCATAAAAATTAATGGTGTGACCCCCCCAATGCAGATTTTTATGGGAGATAGATCTGACATGCCCTCTGAAAACTAGAATGCCTCAGAAAGAGGCATGCCTGACTAGGCTGCCCCTGCACCTGGAGATAAGGGAGAAGTACTCTGCAGACCAGGATGACATTCTCCTTAGGAAATATTTTAAAATTTATTTTTAATATATGAACAAGTACGTACTTGAAGGCTTTATGTTTCACACTATACAGCAAAGCCTCTATTTTTTTAATCTTATAAAATATTTTGGAGAAGAGAATGGCAACCCACTCCAGTATTCTTGTCTGAAGAATTCCATGGGCAGAGGAGCCTGATGAGCTACAGTCTACAGGGTCACAAAGAGTCAGACACGACTGAGTGACTAATACACATGAAATGTTTAGGATATGCATTTCCAGTCACACTCAGGGTCCAAGAATTCAGCATACTGAACTAGGAGGTATCCCTGGAGATTTATATATAATTTGCAAATCTGCAATATCAGTACAAGGAAGTGAACTTAATTAACTGCATTACAATACTATGATCAAAAATAAGACTTAGTACATTACCACCAACAGTCATGGATCTGGTCAAAGAAGGCTGTAAAAAAGTTTCTTCATCATTAAATTGTTTCTTAAGTTCTTCTACAGATTCCAGATGGAGCTGGAGAAATTCTGCTGTTGCCGCTGATGCTTCTTCTTTAACAGGATCTATCATTCTCTTCAGAAGTCCTAGGTCATCCTTTCGCACTTTCAAGCAAAGCTTCTCCATTTCTCGGATATTGGAGCGGAGTTGCTGTAAAAGAAAAAAAAATCGTCAAAGCTATCATCTCTTCATATAAAATATCTTTACATTCAGAGCCAATCTGTGATAATGGCTTTGAATGGAAATGATTACAAGTATTCTCTAGAGCAGATAGTATGCATTATATTTTATATAATTTATATCTTTTCTATATTTTATATCTCTGGCCAAATCCAGATTCTTTAGAACACACATCCTCATATTCTGAATTTAGCATTTTTCCTTCATTAAATGTGATTATCACAAAGGTAACAAATGTTCTTCATAAAAAATGAAACCCTGCAGAAACACATCAAGAAAAACAATGATTTCCTCACTTCATCAAGCCTACCACTTCTCTTAACCCAGTCCTTCTGCATACTTCTCTCTGCTTATATAAATATTAGCATATATAGACCTTCTTTTCACAAAAAATGAATTGTAGATTATGCAGAATAATCTATAATTGACAAACTTTCACACCCCAACTTAACAATATCATGATGGATATCCTTCCTGGCCAATGACTGTGCCACATTCCATAGCACTGCTGTAATATAATTTACTCAGTCGCTCTTCCAGTGATCAACAGTCTCTCATGTTGTCTCCAGTTTTTAACTATTACAAACTAGGAAACAAATGTACTAGACTATAAATCCTGATCGCAGGAGACATGAGTTTGATCCCTGTGTTGGGAAGATCCCCTCAAGAAGAGAATGGATACCCACTCCGGTATCCTTGCTGGGATAATCCCATGGACGGAGGAGCCTGGTAGGCACAGTCCATGGGGTCACAAAGAGTCAGACATGACTGAGGATGCATGCACATAAATCCTAATAAACAGTAACAGTATATATTAGTATTCTAGTATATACTATTATACTATATTTTGTAGGAATGATTCCCCAAAGTTAGACTGCTTATTCAAAGGATAATACGCATTTTTATTTCAAAAGCTATTACCAGTTTTTCCCTGAAAGGCTTAACAATTCACATTACCACTAATGTCTGAGTTTCCATTTCCCCATATACTGCCAGTACTATGTGTTATCTCGCTGTTTTATTTTAATTTCTAAGTGAAGTTGCTGGATTTTTATGAAATGCTTTTCTCTCTTTCAAAAGTCACCTATTGGCATAATCATAAATTTTTCTCTAATGTGTTGATATAATGAATTATGGGCAAATTTCATGCTATAGAGCCATTTGAATATTTCTGAGATATACCCTCCCTGGTCAACACATACAATTTTTTAATACACTGTGGGATTCAATTTGCTAATACTTTATTTGGAGTTTTAGTACATGTTGAGTATTTGAATGTGTATATGTGTGCACAGATGCATACATGACCAGTGTATATGTCTATACTAACTTCCCTACGTTTAAACTCCCTCTAACAGGTTGTGCTACCTTCATAAAATAAACCAGGGAGCTTTTAATCTTTTTCAATGGTCTCTACTTGGAAAACACAAAATCCAGTTTTTCTTTTACAATTAAACAGAACTTCTAAGAATGATCTATTTGTGCAAGTGTGCTCAGTAGCTCAATTGTGTCTGACTCTTTGCAACTCCATGGACTATATAGCCTGCCAGGCTCCTCTGTCCATGGAATTTCCCAGGCAAGGATACTGTAATGATCTAGATATGATGCTTATTTTAAAATTGCAGATCTCTATTCATATATTTTAAATTATTTTCCCCTAATGTACTTTCACAGACATGAATGCAAATCCTGCACAGTAGACAGAACAAAAAGTATTGATTACTTTAATGTTTCAAGTGCCTACTTTCAGTGAGGAGATATAGTCCATATAATTACATTTCACATTATTACACACAGAGAAATCTAAACAAAATTTGTGCAGGATTTACTTAATTATCTACCAGCAAAACTGAGGTTAAAATCCAGGTATTCTTATAAGTCAGCAACCTTTCCATTAAACTATAAACATAATTCCTAGCTACAGGGCACCTTAATACAATCTAAAGTATCTATTGCACTATATTAAAATTAAAGCCAATCTTGGGGGAAAAAAAAGATAGTTTAGCTAGACTAAAGCATCTTGTAAGAAGATTTTGTGCATGAATCAAAAAGTTGTGCCTCTATCCTATCATGACTTTATATTTCTTTTATACCCACTCTTACCACTCCAATGTGAACTGGAAAAACTAAAGATATATGATATTAAGTATTTTATATGTAAAAATCATAGAACTCTAAGGGGCTTATAAGATCATCTATTCAACCTTACAATTTTACAGTAAGGAAACCAGAGTCCAGTTAAACACAGTGGCAGAATTAGGATTAGGTCCAGTTCTCAAGCCCTGGAACAATATTGTTCACTACACACCATCTCTTGGCTGCGTTATTCTTTTCTCCACTACAGTTACAAAGCTTGGTTACATACTTGCTACATGGTTCACAGAAGTACTTTAGGTAACATTAGTTTGGAGAAGCTTTAAGAAGTTTCTGCAGCTAATGAGCATTTGCCTGTGACATATTCTCACTCTTCTATAGAATTTTTAAGATGTTACATCCCCAGCCAAAAATACAGTGTCAGACTAAGAATTCTCTTACTATGGGTGAAGGGAAAATGTTAAGGGGGACATCTTTAAAAACCCAATATGACTGGGTAAGGTGTGCTGCAAGTTCATAATTTTAAGATAGTTATTTAAAAAAAAGAATGAAAAGAAAGGCATGTGAATAAGGATGAACACAAAAGAGTGACGTGAAAGGAGAAGAACCATGTGTGTAAGAGCGCAGAATGAGCGGAGGCTGGTGAAAAATGTTAAGAACGATAAAAAAGATGTAAAAAACATGTAGAGCAAGAGGAACAAGAAAGAAGGTTTAGGCCTACTGCTTGGGGCAGATGGTATCATGTTAGCAGATGATACAGAGAAAGCAGAACTACTTAACTCCTATTTTGTTTTTGATTCTCCATTAAGAAGAATATTCAAAACTGAAAGGGGCATAAGAAACATGCTCAAAGGAAACTTGAAACATCTCACTGTAAGGATCTACACAGGATTCATGACAGAGGTGAGATTTGAGCCATTCTTGATGACTAATATTAAAAAATAGAATAAATCAGAAAAAGATAAATGGAGTGGAAATATTGTATTTCATCAATTTTAGGGCACATCCTTCCAACACCTCTGAAACTGGAATATATCTTAAAAAGAGATGGTTTGAAGAAAAAAAAAAGCATATTTAACTGACAGCACTTTATCCCTCTTAGAGGAAAATACTGGTGTATCTTGCAAGTGATGGTGCCTTAGATTTAAACAGTACCTATTCCAATCAGAGTAGAAGCATAGGTACCAAACATTAAAAGGTGGGGGGGGGGGGGGGGCAGGAATCCTAAATCCTGACTAATCAGCTCACAAATATTTCAAGTCAAAATTTAAGTTTAAATTCCTCTAAACTCATAATAACCTAAAAAGAATTTACCTCCTAATCACATTCATTTTGGAGTCTACTCTTCTTTCTCTCCCTTAAAATACCTGGCCTTGCTTCTGTCTAATCTTTTTTTTTCCCTAGCTTTTATCTACTATCCTCATTTCTCTCTATATCTTCCTCATTCCCTCTCTTTTCTACTGCTTTTCCCTTGTAATTTTTCCTTAAAAAAATTAAAAAGGAGCTCAAGTACCCTGTATTTCTCCTAATATTAACAAAATCATGAAAGCCATATTTTACTTCTACCAGCTCCATGCCTGACTTTCTTTGTATTTGTGCTACCTATGGAACTGGGACAGACTCTCTGTAGAGCAGTTTCTTTCCAAATGTGGTCTGACATCTACTGAATCAGAATCTTTAAAGTGAGTCCCAGAAATCTGTGTTCTCAACAAGCTCTGCATCATCACTGCTGACCGAGTTTCTATACAAGTTAATGTTCTTCATTGAATTATTAGAGTAGTAACAATTTCTACTTTTCACTTAGTTTCAAAATTTGATCACAAAATCTTTCTTATTCTCAATGATTTCTTTTTTTTTTTAATTTCTTTTTTTTTCTTTTTTTTTTTTAATAGGCTAATTACTTTACATCATTACAGTAGTTTTTGTCATACATTGAAATGAATCAGCCATGGATTTACATGTATTCCCCATCCCAGTCCCCCCTCCCACCTCCCTCTCCACCCGATCCTTCTGGGTCTTCCCAGTGCACCAGGCCTGAGCACTTGTCTCATGCACCCAATCTGGGCTGGTGATCTGTTTCACCCTAGATAATATACATGTTTCAATGCTGTTCTCTTGAAACATCCCACCCTTGCCTTCTCCCAGAGTCCACAAGTCTGTTCTATATATCTGAGTCTCTTTTTCTGTTTTGCATATAGGGTTATCATTACCATCTTTCTAAATTCCATATATATGTGTTAGTATACTGTAATGGTCTTTATCTTTCTGGCTTACTTCGCTCTGTATAATGGCTCCAGTTTCATCCATCTCATTAGAACTGACTCAATGATTTCTTATTCCAAAGAATAAAACTGTTAAACCTATTCTATTGGTTTGGCCAACCACAACACCTGCAGTTTCAAAACATAGTAACAGATAGATTTCTGTCTCTGCAGTTTGTCGAACAGAGTACTGAAGAGGAGAGAGCTGTACAGAAAAAGAGTGCTGGAGATATGAGAAGGGTAACCCTCAAGCATTCGGCAAAGAACTCATCAGAACATGCATGTGGGGAAACTACGCAAGGCTGGAGAAAAACACCATCTAAAAAGATCAGAAGGAACAGTGCTCAGCACTCATTCAAAGCTGGGAAGTGTCCCACCAGATAAACTGGAAAACCTCTTAATTCATAGGGCAATGGGCAGAACACTCAGAAATGTTTTCACTTCAGTCATGGGGAAATAAGTAGCCCTAGACCAAGCACTGTTCCAATCAAGCTTATAATAAATCACAAAGTGAGGATCCTTTTGATCTGAAAGGATCAAACTCTTTCCAAGTAACCTAACTATGTGCCATAACAAAGCTCAGAGGAGTTACAGGAAAATATAAAAATATCTAGC